TTCCTGTTATAATATTCTTATCCGTTTCATGTCCTGTAATAATTTATTTTGATTCATGTTCTTTTCAAGTATTCTTTACATTACATCAGCAGCTTGGCGCTGTTGTGATTATTTCATACAAAATATGTGTCTCGCCAAAACTGAAATTTCATTCGATAAATTAAGAATTATCCTCTCCCAAAAATAAATGCGACACTCATGAGACATCTCAATTTTTTTTAAAAATTGTAAAAATGATGGAAAAACACCTAATTGAAGTACTGAAGGTGTAAAAAGAAGGAGATTATTCGATTGTAACAGAATAATCTAATTTTTATTTTTAGATACCTCAATTCCAAACGCCGTATAGAAAATATTGCTTCTGTAAATCAATCACGCGGAAAATATCAGATTTCATTTCATTCTTGATTTATTTCCTCAGATGGCGTTTCGCGATATTTTGAAACATGGCTGACTGATTGAATCGAAAAGCTAGGCGCCTATCTCTGAGACAAACAAAAAAAAGTAAATAATTCTAAGACGGTATTCCTAAGACAGTCTCATTTTTTTCTCTTAGTAATAAATGTATTTACTAGGTTATAAATTAGGTATTTTTTATCTTAAAATAGATCTTATAAAACAGTATGCCTTCCATCAATTGTTAAGTTATTCATTACAGAAAAAGAATGATAGAGCGATGATGAATGATGGAGATATAATTTTCACTTCAAACATCTTTTAAATAAATACAGGTAATTATTAACCAGATTGAAGTTTGATTAACATACTGAAATCTGGTGTATTATTTAGTTACATGAAATAAACTTATCAGATCTTATGAGAATTAAAATCGTTAAAATCTTATAAATAAATGCTGGAAATGATTATCTTCTTAAGGTGTGATGCATAATTTGATTACACGAACAAATTAGTGATAAGATCTTATAATGCTTTTATTCTTACAAGTAAATGTAGGAAATTATTACCATCTTAAAGTGTGGTGTATTATTCAGTTATATGAATAAATTGCCAATCGAGTTTCATAAGGATTGGTAATCGTTAAAATCTCATAAATAAAATTTTGGAAATGATTGCCATCTTGATGTTTGATACATAATTGAGTTACATGAAAAAATTGTCAATTAGATCTTTTTTTTATTTAATCTAATAAATAAATATAGGAAATTATTACCATCCAGATGTGTGATATATCATTTAGTTACATAAATAAAATGTAAATCAGGTCTCTTAACGATTAGAAGCGTTAATATCTTATAAATAAATGCTGGAGATGATTACCATCTTAAAGTGTGATACATAATTTAGTTATACGAATAAATTGTCGATAAGATCTTATAACGTTTTTAATCATATAAATAAATGTAGGAGATCATTACCATCTTAAAGTGTGATACATAATTTAATTATATGAATAAATTGTCAATAAGATCTTATAATGTTTTTAATCTTATAAATAAATGTTGGAGATCATTACCATCCCGAAGTGTGGTGTATTATTTAGCTATAAAATAAATTGTCAATCAGATCTCATGAGGATTAGAAAGGTTAACATCTTAGAAATAAATGCTGGAGATGATTACCATCTTGAAGTGTGATGCATAATTTAATTATATGAATAAATTGCCAATAAGATCTTATGTTTTTAATCTTTTAAATAAATGTAGGAGATAATAAACATCCAAAGGGGTGATGTATTATTTAGTAATATGAATAATTTGTCAATCAGGTCTCATAATGATTAAAATAGTTAACATGTTATAAATAAATGTAGGAAATAATTGCTATCTATTAGTGGTGCGATGTTTAATCGAACGAATAAATCAATTTTTTTTAGTTGAGCAGCTCTTGAAAAGTTAAAATTTATAATGCAACTTTTTTAAAATTTTATAATTCACTGGGTGTGTACTCATTCTTCATATGGGGTAATAAAAAAAAAGAAAAGAATCAATAAATCATTATTTATTGACGCAACGAAATTATGAACAAAGCTTAGAAAAATATATCTACACAATAAATAAAGCTAAAATAATTCTATTTTTATTTTAATTTAATATTATGGCTAGATTAAGCGAAATGCATTTGAGGGGAGTTAATTATTTGACTATGTCAACCTTCATCTATCAAAAAGTACCTCAAAATTGAATCAAGTTAACATGTCTTATATACTAGTGATTTGTTATTTAATATTTGTAGTGGTAGTTATGCCACATTACTCCCCTTCCAGAATTTTATCTGTGATAGAATTCGATAAACGATTACCACTAGTTGATTCATGCTGTTTACATATTTATATCATTTTCGCTCATTATATTTTTTCTTCATTATTTATAGCATTTCGCTCATTATTTTTTCTTATTTTTGTTTATAGCATTTCGCAATTTTTTTTTCTTCAATATTGTTTACTGACCGGGAGACTTTATTTACTTCACCAGATTTTTTTTTTCTTTTTTTTTTGAGCGGTATATTTTTTAAACAAATCAACTGTTTAATGTGGACCATCCATCAATATTGGCAAGTTCTTATCACGTCCGGGTCACCAATGAGGGGAGTTAATTATTTGACTATGTCAACCTTCATCTATCAAAAGGTACCTCAAGATAGAATCGAGTTTACGTGTCTCATATACTAGTGATTTGTTATTTGATATTTGTAGTGGTAGTTACGCCACACATTATTAGTTGTGAAGTCCATCAATATTACGATTAACTGAAATATGTTGTATATTCAGTATCACATAGCTCATATTTTTAAGTTAGTACTTTTTAGCAAAATCAATTAAGTATCATTGACGTTTATAACAGCATGGCTACTTTTTACGTTTCTTCTAAGCAAAGTGGTATCAGTTCTCTATTTATTCTGTTATTTAAAACATGTAACCGTTCTCCGTCGTTGTTGTCGGGTCCAGATATTCTCTATTAATTTTGCTATGTAGTACATGGTTTATTTTATTTTTGTTTTTTTTTTAATTTCAAATAGCATTTATTACCAAAATTAAATGATCATCATTGGCGTCAATGATAGTATTTGATAGTAGTTTAATGTTCCTCCTAAACGATTTAGTACTTAAAACTATGTTTTGTTTTTATAGTCAATAACTTAATTTTTTACTTTAATAACAGTTGATTTTGAATTATTTAGTTTTGGGGAGGGGGATGATCATTAGACAATGCCAACCTCAAAAGGTACCTCATGATTGAATCAAGTTAGCAAGTCTTATATACTAGTGAATTGATGTTTAATAATCGTAGTGGTAGTTACGCCACAGTTTACTGTAGACACGTTTTCAAAGCAGTCACGTTAGAAAACTTTTGAATTTGGTAACGTAGTCCACCTATGGTATTGGTCTCCCATCATGAGTTGGCGTGCTTAAAGTAAGAGTACACAGGTAGAATTTATTCCAGTGATTCAGGGGAAGAAGGCAGAGAAAGCGGTAGAGAAAAATAAAATTTGCTAAAAGTAATGCGCTTATATTTCACGCGCTTCATTTTTTCCTACCTATATAAAAGTGAACTTTTCCGCTAAGCTTTCCCACCACAAATAAAAAATAATTAATAAAAAAACGGGCAATAAACTCCTTTTTCTATTTATGAGAGCAATAAGCTAACTAACAATTATTTTATCGTTTAAATACTTAGGGGAAAAATCATCTGCAGTTCAATTTTTATCATTATTATTATGAATCAATTAAAAAATTCTATTTTTCAACAGTCTCGACCGTATAATCGAATTAAAATATTTGAGATATTTTTACTGTCGTTAGCTAAAATTGCTCCTCTCCCCTATTGTCCAAAATTTATCCCCTGGCATAAACAGTTCTGGAGTTTATAAAGTTGGAAATTATGTAAGGGTTTGTTTGCCTCAAAGTTTAAAAAAATTGACTATTAATTAATGAAAAAATAATAAATAATTATTTAAAAAATACATATTTTTACAATTTAGTTATACAGTACGTAGATTTGTATGCAAAATAATTTTGATTCACTTTTATGTGAATGTTATTCAGACTATTCTTTTTTGTATTTTCAAATAAAAAATGTAATGGACAGTTTCCCTGAAATACCTAAGACCCTGGCCTTTTAATATCTTCTTTCAGATTTTCTTTTTTTTTTCCCCAGAGGTGCAATTTTTTTTCGCCCGCAAATGCGAACGAAAAACTTTCTAAAACGACATCTTTTGGAAACTTTTTAAAAGCATGTGTAGCGTATCTACCACTACAAAATTGCAACAACAATTCACTAGTATATAAGACATGTTAACTCGACTCTATGTCGGGGTACCTTTTCATAGATGAAGGTTGACATGGTCTAATACTCCTTTCCCCACATTGGTGACCCGAACGTGATGTGAACACGCCTACCTTGGCAAAAAACGCCCACTTTGATCTGGATACGCTTACATCGGCAGTAACGCCTACTTCGTTGGATGGCCCACATTGAATAGTTGACTTGCTACTTGTGACTGCAACATTATCCACCTCCTCGCACTGTTGCTACTCAGTCTCGGGCACACAACGTCGGCCTGCATACACTCGACTGCTAATGGCAACACAGGAGCGACTACGACAGTGAAGTTAATACACCTCTCACATTCAGCACTCAAAAAGTATGGTGATCTTAATACAGCTCTCCCGGCTTCTCACAAAACAGCAATGAATCAACTAGTGGTATTCGTTCATCGAATTCTATCACAGATATAATTCTGGTGGGGGAATACTGTAGCGTATCTACCACTACAAAATTGCAACTACAATTCACTAGTATATAAGACATGTTAACTCGACTCTATGTCGGGGTACCTTTTCATAGATGAAGGTTGACATGGTCTAATACTCCTCTCCCACACATGTTTTACCAATCTGATGCTCATTTACATCCGCGAATTTTACACATACAGCGAAAACGGCTTTTTAGTGAATTTTAAATGCTAAGGCACTGGCCACAGCTTACTCTTAAATCTGATCTATGTAAGCTACAAGCAAGTTTATATGAAATGAATACTCTTGAAACTTTGTGTACCCATTCGATTCGAATGTCAATAATCAAGTTAATATAAGTTGTTTTAGTGTGTGTATTTTTATTATCAAAATTAGTTACTTTTTTACATAATATATATTTTATTTCGAATCTATTTTGACTTGATTTGGTTGAATATATTTTTTTTCTTTCAGAAAAGAATAAATGTCCTGTTAGTTTAATAAGAAATGAAATTATTTGCTATCAAATTCAGAATGTAATTGAAGTAGTTCTCGGAATTAGCGCCCTACAAGTAGCAAAACTACTATATTCTACTTTTTTATAGTTTGTTCTATGGTTTGCTACTTTTATAAAGAAAGTTGTGTAGCTAGTAGTTCAGTACAAAAAGAGCAGTTTGGGCGATCAAGTTGTTCAACGCAAGTAATTTCATGAATCTAATTCATGCAAATTTTTTGCAATGAGAAGGAATTTTACATTTGCCCTTAAATAATTAAAAAATAGCTACAACCAACAATTCAAAAATATGCAATTTCCCTTGAACTTAAAACAATTCTTTGATAGGCTTGTAAAAGATGCGAAGCCACCGATTTTTAATGCAGTTACCCACTTTTGCTTTTCTATTAAGTGTCACTGATTTTATGGTAATTGGTGGAAGATTTAAAGTATAATATTTATATACTAGAAAGATAAATAATCACTCTGTTAATGTAATCAAATACATTCTATTAGTAAATATAAGATGACCTGAAAGTTTTAAAGGCACCTTGTACCATATTTTATGTCAAAATTTCTTACAGCTTATAAAGAGTTAAAACTTTTACGGTTAATAAAACATGATTTAAAATATTTCATTGCTGTGGAAAATTTATATTTCTTTATTTTCCATTATCAGATTATCTTTTAAGAGTGTGACAATTTATCTTAATTATTTTTTTAACTTAAGTAATTAATCCATAATTTTTTTTAAAGGTTTAAAACATTGTTTAAATTTTTGAATGTATTCAATTAATATAATTTGTCGGCATTCTGTTTCAAATGTTATTTAAAATTATTTTAAACATTATATTTCTTTTTAGAGATAAAATTGTTTCAAAGATGTCCTCTCCACAAGTAACGTATTGTTGTGATATGGATAAATCTGTCCTCATTTCAAATTTTGAAAAGAGAGGATGGATACCAGTTGGTCCAGATGATGACTGGAATGTTTATTGGTAAGAATATCTTATTTATGTTCACTTATTCATAATTTTTCATTTAAAAAAATTTTTACATCAAAAACAGTGTAAAAAGTTTTTTATTTAATACATTTCTGTAGAAATGCGTGTTATAGTTGTCCTACTTTATGAATATTTTATTAATCTTTCATTTCTTCAATTCTTTTTTGTCAATTGTTTGTGTCTTGTCAATATAAATCATAATAAATTATTACCTGACATAAAACCGATAGGAATTTTATAACAGGACAAATCCGAAAACAGGAAGCAACATTTTAGAACTTCATGAAAAAAATACTCAGAAAAGAAATAGTTCAAAAATGGAATATATATATATATATATACAAACATACACATAATACAGAGTTAGAAATATAATAAAAACTTGACGGGATTCTCTTCAGGATGCATTTCTTTATGACAGAGGCATTTTGAAATAAAGAATAGTTATCCTAAAGAAAATTTACTCTTTATAATCCTCCTATGCCTTGAAAAAACGAATAAAAATTATGTAATTGTTGTAAAGAAAATGAATGAATAAAAGTTATGTAAGTTTAAAATGAAAGAAGAAGAGCAGGAAACAAACTTACCGATATAAGGTAAAAAATGCTTTAATAATAGATTGACTAATCTAAAAGTTAACGAAAAGTGATCAGAAGAAAAAAAAGTATGTGCTTTTAGCTTTACTATATGAAATAATTGGTAAAAAATAGCAAACTCAATTTCAATGCTACTGTCTATGAAAAAAAAAATTTGAAAATAATATTATTTAGAAAAACATAGGTAATAAAAAAAAACCTATATTAGAGGAAAAATTTATAAAATTCATTGAAGTGTAGCATTTAAATTGTAGAATCATTCAAAAAAATAAAACCTTCATTTTAGCAATTTGTAGGACATTACATAGAAATGCAAAATAGGAATAAGCCATTTTTACTAGATATCCTTCTTTGATACTATATATGCATAACATTAGGCTTGGTCGAATGGGATTTGCAGATAAACGAGCAAGAGAAAATCAAACAATTGTTGTTGAAGTTCTACAATCTCTAGATAAAATCTACAAAAAAAATGTGTGTTCCACTTTTTTAATAGGAAATTTTACGGAAAGGCTGTACAAGTTCTCCCCTTTTTGTCTCAATCACAAATTACAAAAAGAAAAATTTATTTATTTTAAATGATTCTCCTCATTAAGATCATACAATTCCATACGCTAAACACTTTTTATGATAACATTTCTAAATGATGCAAGCTTTTGCATTTTTGAATCTATTATTAACCAAGTGAATCAATAATTATAGAAAATCTTTTTGCTTAGAATAATGAATTAAGAAAGACAATTATTTATATTTTTAAATGTTTAATTTTCTGCTCCCTCCAATCATGTTTAAACTATGCTCTATTCTATATTTTTTTAAGTCTATTTATATTCTGTTGTTTTTCCTAATTTATGTATTGTGTTCTACAAAGCATTTGTTCATAGGTCTTTAATTTACTACTTTGTTTTGAGTAAAAAAAGTCATGTGTTGTACGGATTCTTTTTTAGTTATTTTATAACTGAAATGTTACAGATAAAAATAAAAATATTTTTCTTACCTTAACAAGTATAATCAAAAACAGATTTTATTTTTAAGCAATAAGTAAAGTTATTTTCACATCACTAGATATTTATCTTCTTACTTTCTAATTTTTGCTGCCTGGTTGGTATAGTGGATAGCTCCTTCATCTTCCATGGCTTAGAATAGGTTTAGATTCTTTATGAGGCTAATTAAATCGGATTTCTTTTTTTCTAATGGTGACAAAGTAGTTGTAAAGATGCAGTTTGAAGTGTGATGCAAAGTCTGGGCAATTAATACCATCATTTAGTTCTGTGGCCTAAATATCATGAACCAATATTGGGTTATGATCGTCACTAATGATGAATGCCAGACTACCTCTTATATTATCTCATCATTAGTGCAGCTATAGTGCAACATTAAGAACCAAACAAAACTTATTTTTTACTTTATGCAAAAAATTTTTAAGTGAGTCAAGCTTTTCTAATTCTTCTGAGTTGAGCATAAATTTGTTAATGAATCTGGTGCTTATTGTTTAACTACTGTTTGTTTTTAAGATATATATTTTGAAGAATTGTTTAAAGATCAAATTGATATCAGGTTATGCTTACCCAACTTTTAATAATTGAAATTATCTTTTAAATGCAGGTCTTCCGTTTTGACTGTTCGAAATATTTTTAGTGTTGACACTGGTTATAGATTATCAGACAATCAGTAAGTAGCAAATGTTGTGTTAAACATGTTAGTGTGTTGTGTTTAAATGTGTTAAATGTCAATTAAAATACCTAAGCAGGTAACTTTCGATATTTTGTTTTATTTTGTAAATAAATGCTTTACAGCAAGGGATCAAAAAATATTTGGAAAAACTTTAATATAGGAGAGCCAGAATAAGCTTGTAACTTGTGTCTAGAAATAGTAGGTTTAAGCAACGTCAAGAACATGGCAAATGTCCTAGTAATCAGCCTCATTTATGAGTAAGTGTGTTGCTTGCTCATTGGATTTTATAATGTTATTGTTATACAAATGCAACATTTACAGATGTCTACCTCATATATATGATAAGAAATAGAATTAGAGACTGTATAGAAAGCAATTTATTTTCAGAATAAACAATTGCAACTACCTTGTTGACAAACTTAAAAATCTATTCGCCACCAGTTAAATGTGATATTCAAAGCAATGTTAAGTCAAAACCTTGACCTGGACATTTTCCCATCAAATTGAGGATATTCTCTGTATAGCTCTGCGTGATATTCTTTATTCTAGCAAGTAAATGCTGCTTTTACTTTCAGTTCATATTGACTTCCATTATGACATTTAAGAGTGTGTTTCAAATTCTTTTTCGTCTAGAAAAATATAGCCACTTTCAGTGCCTCACACTTGAGACAAAGCTATAATTTTAAATTACCTATGCAATTATACCACGAAGAATTATCTAGGCTTCAGAACAAAGAAACAGTTTAAATATTTTAAAAGTAATGAAATCTTCTTTTAAAAATTGACAATTTGGCAAAATTTTTCTTCCTAGATAAAAATAGTCAAACTGAATGAAATATCAATGACTTATCCACAATTTTTGAAAATTCGTATCAGCCTAGATGTAGCAATGGAGTAATTTTTTAAAAATTTTATCGCAAACCTTTTTCATTTTCTCAAAAGCTTTTCTTCATTTTGATGTTTTGAGCTATTTCAGAATTACCATAGAGAATGTTGGCTAAAAATCGGCTATACCTTGACCTATGAGATCTGAATAGCTGTTACAAACTCATAATTATGAAAATAGCATAATATTTGAAGAAAAGAAGACATTATTTCATGCAGCAATAGAGTTTTGAAAAACAGCTCTAAGTATATTTTATGGTAGAACATATATTCTATCTTAAAGATATATTTTTTTTGGTTCTCATTACCCCCTTTAAAGTTTTGCTTGATAATTTCGAAACACCCAGTACCCAGTAGCAAAGATAAAGATATGTTGTTAATAGTTGGATTAGTTCAAAGGGAAATGTGTAATTATATTAGTTGAAATTCTTTAAAGATGTAAGCATTTTATCATTTTCTTAGTGAATTAAAATTTAGCTTAACGAAAAAGTATATTTTATTTAAAAAATATTTTTGCAGATTGTGGGTTTTAGTAAAATTAAACTGTTTTATATCTTAATTTTTGTGTGTAGCATTTCAATTGATTACAATGTATTTAACTCTGACAATAAATGTTTATTTTAGATAAGCAAATCATTTTTTAAAACACAAAATTGATTTCTTTAACTGCCATAAAAAGGCTGCTCCTTTACAATTTCAATTTTGCATTTATAAAGAATTCATTTTATGCATATTCAATAAAAACAAAAATTCATATGTTTAGACATTTATTTTCTTATGCATTTTTTAAAATATAATGTGTCTAAGTAAGCATTTGTTTGCACATTTCTGTACATTGGTACAAAATTCTACTTATTCAAACATTTTGAAATTCCGCATACTAATATATAAATCTTTAAACATTTTTCAATAAATTAATACTGATTTCTGTGTTTAATGTAGGCATTTTTTTCATGTATATATTTTTTAGCATGCCAAAATATATATTTATATATTATTATTAAATAGATGCGGACAAACATTGCATCTTAAAAAATTCTTCAAAAATAAATTTAATTTCTCTTTATTTAAAATCAATTATTATATATTAATTATTATATAAGTATTACAATCTATTTACTAGAGGGGGGGGAACTATATTTATTATTGTTTAAAAAATGCAAATTTCCTCAACAAATATTAATTTTATTAATTCTTGTTAATTATATCACCAATATAGACATGCTTGTTTGTGTTGACATATTTGCTTTTTTGATATTTGCAATACCTTTCCATTAGAAAATAATAATGTAATTGAAATTAAAAAAAGAAAAGTTTGCAACAGTAAAGTGGAATAGCTAAATAAAAGCATGTTTCTTTAGCAATTTTGGTTTTACAGAATTATATTACTAATTTCAAAGCCCCGCGGCAGAATCGCGGCGACACAGCGACATTGTCGCAGAATGTTGCTGAGTTCTTGCAGAAAAAATTTTCTGTTAGGAAGTAAGGAATTTTGGTTTTTTTTTTTCTGCAGAAATTTTTTTTTTTCTAAAATTATATTTAAAAGATGCCTTTTTAGCACATCAGAGAGGAAAGAAATGTTTCTGATTTTTCTATTCTAATTTAAGAATAAAAAAAAGTAGAATAATAAATAAATAATTTCTTTTCTGCAGAAATGTTGAACGATTTTTTCCCTCCAGAAATCATTTTTTTGACACGCTTATTTTGCACCAATATTCTTGTTAATCCACGCTCTATTTTCATATATTTAACAGAAACAAATCCCGATGTTTTTTATACAATTTAATTATACTCGAAACTGAAATCAATTATTTACTGTGAAGATTTCACTGTTTTTCGGCTTTTTATTATGTGTGCTATGCTACTGAATTCCATGGGATTTTTAAAATTCTTGTTATTTTTTAGTCAATATTATTTCCACACGTAAAATTTAAATTGCACTATTAAATAATCTCTTTTTGACGCTCTCACTTTATGCCAATACTACCACAAATCCATGTAGTGTTTAAATTGTATTTTCGGCAGTTTATTGATATTGATTTTCCCGTGATTTTTAAGTATCCCGATATATTTCTGACAATATGGGGAATTCGAATTGTGCTTATGAATATTTAATTTTTAAAGCAATGATTCTATCGTTTTTCTTTTTTTGGGGGGGGAGGTCATTTATTTCACACAGTCTTTAAAATCCTATATTTTATATACGATATTATTTATTACAACAACCGAATCTCGAAACGAAACAAGCATTTAGTACCCCCCCCCCCTTTGAAGAGTCCGATCAGCGTGATTTCGCCGTCGATCTTGTTTTCAGCAGTCACTGCTACGGATTACAAGATTTTTAATTTTTTTTTTTTGATGAGATGCGAAAAAGGAAATAATTAGTGTGATTTCTTTGTACAAAATGGGAGAATCTCGCCATTGTATTAAAATAATATGTAAAAAAAACATTACATATTCATTTAAAAATTAAATTATTTTATTCAAAAGTTTTTTTTTTATTGTGAACGCAACGTTTCTGTTACTTCAAATTCAATTAGTAACATGCATACTTGTTATTATTAAAAGCATCTTGCAGATAGATATTAGTGCTAGAGAGGTTTGTTGCAGAAATCCCAAGAAAATTCTACCACAGGGTTGCAAAGTATATTTATTTGAAAGCTAAATATAACAGAAATTTGTTTTGCAGTTTAGATTTTATACTCTTTTTAGAAAAGTACCTTTGGTATATAATTATTGGATTCATACATTTTTTATTGTGTATACTAGTATATACTTTTTTATAAAGTTATAGCTCTGCTAGTCTAACATTTGGAATGATATTTTTAACTAATTTATTATTTTTATTTCTTCAAAGTTCCATGCATTATAGAACTTTTGCATTTAATTTGATAATGATATTAAAATTTCAACTTAAAATATTATTACGTCTTATTGTTTTAGATATAAACAAAGAAAAATACTAATAATTTTTCCATTAATTTTGGTTTTAACAAAAAAAAATTATTCCGCATTTGTCAATTGCAGCAAAAGCTTGACTATCTGAAATATTGGGTAGCCATCATATTACAAACAAGTAAAGAATTCTGAATACATGATCTTTGAAAATCTAAGTTTTATACATTAACTTATCTGCTGAAAAAGGGGCCATGTCTTAGCATTAAACAATTTTTAAAAATTTGGACTCAACACCTATAAAAAAAGATAAAACTGAGTTGTCTGTTGAATTATTATGTATAGAATAATGACAATTACCTAAATGGTACAAAGCGCAACAAAAAAATAGTTTTTAATTCTTTACTATGATAATAACATTTACTTAATTACCGTCTGCTTTAATTATTTAATGACATAAAAAACCTGTTTTCCACATTACTGTATTTCTTTAAATAATACTACATTGCAATAAAAACACTCTTAAAAATTAAAAGTTTAGCTGAATCTCAGCTTATAGGAAAGTATTAAAGGTTAAGAGAAATAAGTGGCCTCATATGCCACCTGGCATAAAGATAAATAAGTCAATACAAAGGCAAATAAACTATAATTTTACTTAAGACTTATTAAACACAATGAAAGAGTAACAGCTATAAAAATAAACTGTAAATTCAAATTTGAAATCAAAAACACGGGGGGAGGGGTCAAAAACCCATCTTAAACTTTTAAATACAACTTCCTTGCTGAAAACTTCTGTATTTTCTAGAAAATGTGCTATTCCTTAATGAAAAGAATGATAGAAGAAATAATAAGTCTGTTAGAAACACTCAATTTCCGAAAACTCTAACAATTGAGCTTTCTGATTAGTCAAATTTCAAATAGTCAGACTTTTACTGTACTGCTGATGTAAACTACTTGAAGTATATTTCATGGTAAAATTATTTTATGATTTTTTAGAATAATTAACCATTATCCTAATCATTATGAATTAACTCGGAAAGATTTGATGGTTAGAAACATCAAGCGATATCGTAGAGAAATGGAAAGAGAAAATAGTCCTTTATCTGAAAAGGATGAAAATGGAAAATATGTTCACTTAGGTATAGTTACACAGTTTATCATTTTATAGATTGATATATATTGTATGTTTATTTTATTTTAAATAGTTTCCTAAATCGGTATAGTGTCTTTAAACCTTTTGAAGGTCATTTTGGAGTTTATATAATTTTTGACTTAATTATTTAAATTTACTTTTTTTTAAGTAAACTCGCCATTATCTATAATATGTTAGAATAATAATCTATACTTAAAAAATACTGTTCAAACAACAAACAGTTTGTTTAAATTAAGTTTAATCTATTTTTGTTTTATGATTTGATAACTAAAGGAAATTGTAAATGTATCCATGTGTTCTCTATTTCATGAAACTAACTAAAAACGTGTACTTTTTTTTTTGCCTTTTACTTACAGATTTCATACCTGTTACTTTTATATTGCCCGCTGATTATAACATGTTTGTTGAAGAATTTAGAAAAAATCCTTCTAGTACTTGGATCATGAAGCCCTGTGGAAAATGTAATTTGCATTTATTATCAGTGTTTATTTTATTGAAAAAAAAACATAGCCAAAGCCTTATTTAATAATCTTTAATCAGCTTTAACAGTTGGGCAAAATCTAATTTTTTGAGATTACTTGAACCAGGATGTTTATACAACAGTGAGGAATAAATTTTCTGTGAATATCTTGGTAAAACTGTAATTTTTTTTAATTTCAATTACCTTCCCTCTTATAAATGAACTGTGAAAAACAACTTTTTTTTACAATTTTCTACTTAAATTTAATTATATTCTTTTAAATGATTAGCTGTTTTGGTAACCATTTTTGTTTATTTTATCTATTACAGCTCAAGGAGTTGGTATCTTTTTAATTAACAAACTCTCTCAACTCAAAAGATGGTCTAGAGACAGTACTAGGTATTTTGTTTACTTTTTTATTTCTTAATTTTAATAGTTTGACATTAAAAGTTGTAAAATTAGCTTTACAACTTCTAAAGAAGATTCATTGATAGAAGAAAAATTTCTTGTTGTATAAGTTTGTCATTGTTTAAAAAGAAAATTTTCATATTTTAATTTATGTAATTTTTCCCTACACGAATGTCGTAAACCACAATTTATATAAAACTTTAAAATTTGCATGTTGTAAGTTTAAATTATGCTTACTTTTCTAGCTTTAATTTTTATGAAGTAATTCTATCTTTTTAGTTTAAAAAAGTGATAAATTTTGATGGATTAGAGTTAGATGCATTGTTTGTTTTTGTAGCTTTAATCCTGCTGTTGTGAAGGAATCTTACGTTATATCTCGATATATTGATAAACCTTTATTGATTGGTGGAAGAAAGTTTGACATGAGGATTTATGTTTTAGTAACTTCATTTCGACCTTTAAAAGCATATATGTAAGTATTTTACATAGCTTTTTTTCAGCATTCATGGAGTTTTTTTCTAATGATTTCTTAAGGTCTGGTTTCTTAGGACAAGTGCCTTATCTGGGCGTCAGCGGGACGTTGACATAGAGCTGATGCCAAAAAAATACTCTTTTGTCAGCTCAGCATGAGCAGTCAATGCAGACATTATCTCTCATTGCGCATGCGTTAATAACATAAACAAATATTTATTTTGAATTTGTATTGATTTTGTTATTGTCGACCAGTGTTTTTATGAACAAATAATGACTTTGTCCAAAAAAAAAACTCATTATCGCTGAGCTAAATGAAGAGTGCTATGTTCAATGAAAAAGCTATGTTTAATGACAAAATCAAAATCTTGGCTTATTTCAATGTGCTGTTGGATGTTGTCCGCCATTGCTTCTGTAATTAACGTCACGTTGTAATCCAGCTGCAGTTGAGTTGGACGGCAATTGTAGTTCAAGATGAGCGTTCGATGACGCATACTATCAAACTCACAAATTGACCAATCAGAGGTTAGCGCTGATTTCCAGCTGACGGCGTCCTGTCCTAAGAAACCAGGGCTTTAGAAGGTTTTATTTCTCTTATATTTTCTTAACTTACTGTGGATTTGATTTAAATTCTGACTTAAGTTTTAAATTGTTGTTTAGTGATGTGTATGATCTTTATTCTATAATTTTTTCATTATATATACACACACGTGTATATTTGTTCAATCTTATCAAACATTTCAATCTGTAGCAGCTTTTTTCAAAAACTTGTGGATATAAGATTTTTCCTTATTGAACATTACTAACCATAATTACAAGGTATTTAAAAAATTTATTAAATTCAGTCCTTTAAATCTTTGAAGATATATTCATAACTGCCCCCACCCAAATTTATTGTGTTTTCAAATAGTAAATTTGTAACAGGAAAACTAACTCCGGTTTCAGTTCTTGGTATTTAATTATACTATTAAGTGTTTTAGTCTCAAGTATTATAAATATAAATGCAGTATATGCTTTTTAGAATGAGTCTCCATTACTATGACCCTTCCATTATAATCACCGAGACAGGAAACCTCATTAACTGTTCCAACGGTAATTCATAGTTCCATTTTTGGTTCTTTGAGGACTAACATTTTCCATTGACAGTGAGCCAATGGGTTGCTTAAGTCTGAAGGAAATTATTCCGAACACTATTTCTTCTGGCATTACTGCTCAAAAGAATTGGATCTCTATGTGTGAAGAAAAAGTGACAAAACCACCTATTCTTAACTTTGGTGGTTATGGGGTATTTAGTGGTTAGAAAGATTTTAAAATATCGATTACTCTCCATTATTGAGAATTTGAAGTGTATATTGCATCCTTGTGCTGCTGTGTATTGCATTTCTGCATACATTCATAACCTTTGTAAATTTCTTTTCAAACGGTTCAATAAATTCATCAATCATGTTTTCCTCATTTGAATAATGTATTTTCTGTTTTTTAAGTTTTGTAAGAGGTGGTTTATTTTAGAATTTAAGCAAGTTGCATTCATATTCTTCATAATTTTATTTTTAAACTTAACATTTATCAAGGATGTATAATAATTTTTAGCGAATATTGCTGCTTGTTAAAAGATTAAAGCTATATGCTTAGGATAGAAATTAAAGGTTTTGAAAAAAATTGAATAGAAGAATCACTCCAAAACCATAAATTACTTAAAATATTCAAAATATTAAGTAACGTTGTTTATAATAATTAAAAATCATGATGTACATAATTCTAAAAAGACAGCAGACTAGCTCACACCATCATTTTCATGAAAGAAAATTTCAGCATCTAGCAAAAGTACTTAATGGCTTTCTAAAAATGATGTGTAATATTAGAAGATGTGATTTTAAAAAAAATAAATGTGTTCTTAGCCTAAACTTTATTATATTAATGCCTGCACTTAATTGGAATAAATAACTATGTTAATGCCAATTATTCTACTAGTTTCACAATTATTTTCAATGTTAGCATGTTTTGCTCAAAATAAGTCCAGTATGTTTGAATTATAAGTAATTAATTTGCTCTAATTTCATATCTTTGTCGTATAGTAACCTCGGTTACAGCCTCCATTTTTGTTTGGACGACAGAGCTCATTATATTGAGCGTCAACCATACCATATTATAATTGCATTTACTGGCAATAAAATTTTAGAAAGTGTTATATTGTTGTAGAGAATATTTGAAATTAATGTTCTTACTTTATATTAAATCAATGGAAACAAAATTAAATCCCATGATTTACATTAGTGTTTTTGGTCCCTTCGTGTTTTATTCTAGTTTTGACTGTAAAATGATAGCTTGAATGATTTTCTTGGATTTCAGTTTATTCGTATATTTTTTATCTATTATGTTTTTACTTGCTAAATAATTGTCAACTGAATATATAAAATAAAATTGTTATAATGTAAGAGTAAGCCCTTAATGTGTGTGTGCTCAAGTTAAGCAGGGTTTTATTTTATGCTGCATTAATTTTCATTCTCGAATATAGTGATCAAGAATTGAAAATATCAATATAAAAAGCTTATAAAAAACTTTTCGTTGATATTTTTTATTTGCATAATTATGATGTAAGTGATAAAAAAAAATTTCAAAAATGTAATAACTTTTTACCAAAGAGCAAAAGAACATAACGACAACACGCCATCTACCCTAGTAATAACCCCTGTCATGATTTTGAGAATTTATTTTATCAGATCATTTTTTTCTTATATTTTATGATTTATTCGTGAAATATCAAATGTTTGTTTTATAGTTTAATTCAATATTTTCCTAAGTTTTGAATACTTTTTTTTTAATGAATACTTATTATTATTAATAAATAATTCCAAGAAACTAAAGCAATAAGATATCACTTGAATTAAAACTTCATTGCCTTCAAAAATACACAAAAAGAAATAACAGTCCATTTATTTCTAGCACAGAGTTTTATAATCATTTTAGCACTTGACTGTTATTTGTTATTTATATATTTTTGAAGCGAATGAAGTTTTTAAACAAGTAGTATTTATTATTATTATTGTTGTTGTTGAAGAAGTTTAAATAAATATTTTCAATGGTAAAATTATGTAATATTTCAGAACAACAATTTGAAAATAGAGATAATAAAAGTAGATGTACAGTGCACAAAGAAATAAACGGACCACTCCGAATAACTTTTGATCTAATGATTGAATCTTCATGCTCTCGAACTCAATCTTAATTAGGTATTTAAAGAGGTAACCTCCAATATGCTGATTATTTAGTGCAAACAATTTTTAAGTTGTGAAATTAGACACAAAAACGTACTTTCTTTGAATAAACATACCTTTTTTCGACAGATTCGGATTCTTTGCCCCCAAAATATTAAGGGTACAATCTGGAAAATATGGTCCCCATAGTTTAGTTAGGAGAGCCATCCAAAGTTTAAGCCTAGTTCATTTTACTTTTTAGCATATTTCGCTATAGCTCGAGAACTTTTTAAGCGAATTATAAAGTGTTTTGCTAACAATTATAAAATTTGTTTGTCCAAATATAATTACAAAATATTGTCTGCACTTATTAATTAGCATATTTGAAATTACCTCTTCGAACCATTATGATGGAGTCCTAGAACATGAAGATTTTAGATCATTAGAATCTAATGTTATTCAAAGTAGTCTGTTTTTTTATGCATTGTACAAGCAAGATTGCAATATTTGGCTCTCATCTGTAATGTGTATCAAAATACAATTTTTTTTTAAAAAAAAAAAAAAATTTGATTAATTTTGTATTTTTTATGTTATTATTTTTTTTCTCTAAAATCTTCTAAGATGTGTTTTTGAAAGAAAAAAAATTTTTTTCCTTCAAAAAATTTGTGCGTTTAAAAGGATAATTGATTAAAAAGAAAATTTTAATTCTAAAATTTTTTCTGTGATTTAGTTATTATTTTAATTATTAATTTTTATTAAATTTGTTATTAGGAAGGAGTTATTGTTGTTATTTGGCATATGTACTATTATTTACCCATAGTGATTTATTAATAGCATATTTTTATTTTGTATTTTATTTGTACATTTTTTTGTATCATAGATAATTTATCTCTGTATAACTTGATTTTGTTGCTTTGTCATTTAAACTGTATTTTTCAGTTACCGTTTAGGATTTTGTCGGTTTTGTCACGTGAAGTATTCTGGTAATATCAAAGAATTGGATAACATGTTTGTGCACTTGACAAATGTTTCTATACAAAAACAAGCTGTAAGTTACCTAATATCTGTACTATGTTTCATATTTGAAAAGCTTTGTGAAATAACATGTTAAATGACAGTCTGAAGATGTTAAAAATTTTAATTTTAAATGCATGGTATTTACAGAGATGTGCATATTAAATGCTACTCTAATGATGAAATATATTTTGTAAACGGCTTTTAATTTCTTCAGCTACTAATATTTCTCAAAATGTGATGTTTTTAACTCATTTTTCTATTAAACCCTTTGATTGTGTTTTTTAAATTATTTTATTTATTTATAGTTCATGATTGGTTTTTGTATAAGACATTTTCTAAAAGTCCCTATTAAAGCATGTTCGGCTCATTGCTTGCTTCAGAATTTGATCTTTGCACAGCAAAATGGGTACATTATGGACCCCACTAATAGTAATAAATAATTTTCTATTCATAAAATTCTTAAAAAAAAATTTTTTTTAAGCACTTGTCCTTTCTTTTATGTATTAGTAATCTAATTATTCCGAGAAATGTCATTATAGTTAAAAAAAATATTTCAAAATTCAAGTTTTTATCCCGTGTTTATAATAAACCCCACTTCGCAATTTGTGTGGGGAAAAAATTATTGTTTTAATTATTTTACTATATTTAATTAGTTGTTATACTTAATGGCATTGCTGGAAATAATAAGAAAAACATGATTAATAACACCTAGTCTGCCCTAAAAAGAAATTTTATTTGGGGAAAGGGGGGAATATAAATAGAAAACTGAAGTGTGGTTTTTAATGGACCTCATTTTATAGTACCAAGGATAATTTAGTATCTGTTCGCATATCATTTTTATTATTATATTATAAACCATAATCATATTTTCCTACATAATGTAGAAAAAATTTGACTTTTAGGGATATTTTAATAAAAACAAGTGGGATTTATTATGGACCGCACTATGTAGTCTATAATGTTGACCACCATCTATGTTAGATGTAAATAAGTAATGTAGTAGACTGTCTTAAACCTGAATAGCTTTGCATTAAAACTTTTCAAATTTTAGAATTGATTTATTTTTTGAATTTTTACTGTACATTTTTAATGTATGAATTTGTATCTAAATACTCAGAGATGAAAGTTTGTATATTAAAATAAGAGCTAACAAAATTTATAGACTACTTAATAAATTAATCTTTTTTTTAATATGTTGCGAAATGTAAAAAAGAATCAAACACAAATGTATAGACTTATAAAAACTTGATTTTAATTAGTAAAATAAGGTAATTTTTTAAAATACAGTGAAACCTGCCAAGTTGANTACTGTATATTGTATTACATGTTTTTTTAAACTAAAATTCAGTTTGCAAACATCAGAACCATTTTCACTTTATATGTGATAAAAATAAATTCATTTTATCCTTTTTAGTATACTGAAATTCCTGGTTCTATAAAAAGCATTTAAGTTGTTTCATTATTTATGCTCTCAAAAAAAAAATTTTTTTTGGCATAACTTTTATCTATAGATAAAAAATATCTGACAGAATAAATAAAACAATTCATTATTTATTTTTTAGGACGAATATAATAGTGTTCATGGTGGAAAATGGGCAATTCATAATTTGCAGCTATATCTTGAAGGAACTAGAGGAAAAGACGTAAGTTTTTATAAATATTCATTGTATTTCATATTTGTTGAAAGTATTTCATGTTTTTCATTTTATAAATGTAATAAAATGACAATCTTTTATATAGGTCACAGACAAATTGTTTGACAATATCAGATGGCTCATCTTACATTCTTTGAAATCAGTTGCTGTAAGTTTTGCTAGACTTTTAGGTTTTGAATATTGTCTCCAGTTTTTGTCATTTTCCTTACAACATTTTTTTTCTCCTTTTTACAGAGCGTTATGGTTAGTGATCGCCACTGCTTCGAGTGTTATGGGTATATTATATTTTTTTATTGTTCCAAATTCATTTAGAAAGTCTGTTACGATATTGTCTGTCATTTATTTATCATGTAAAGTCTGTCATTTATTCGAAAATTAAAATTCTGAATTTTTTTATGATTCTTATCTTTGCCAACACATTTGATTTGTTTTGATAAAAAAAAAAAAAATTATTACAGTTGGATGTTATTGTGTCTTGATTGCTATGATGCAGCGTCTTTTAGGCTTGACTTATCTTGAAAGTTGTTGTGGTTTTAGCTTTTAATGTCAAATGACTTGATTAATGAAAGAAATAAATCCATGAAAACATTAAACTTCATTATCTAAGTGTTTAATACTTGCTGTTAAAATTCAATTTTAAATGACCTCTTAAAAATATAATGAAGTTCTAAATTTTATTATATATGTAGCCAGTTTTTGTTGTTCAGATTTTATAAGCAAAAAATTCAAGAAAAATAGTTCAGTGAAGTCTCCAGCCTTAAACTCAGATCAAAACAATGAAAAATTTATCAAATGCTTAAAGTGTGTTTTGTTTCAGTTAGTTGGTGTGTTTCGTACCTTTTATATATCTGTACCGTTAAAGGATATTTTCTCTTAATATTATGGGAAATGTATTATGAGCAATTCTATTCTTCAAAGCTTTATTTTTCTTCATGGTTAAATTACTATTTACAGCAATTATAAGACTTTTTATTTATTAAATATTTTTATTGTTTGCTTAGAAATCTTTAGTAACAACACTTCTTATGCTCAGAAATTAACAACAATAACATGAAGATCATTGAAATTATGGTCCACTTAAAATTAGACAAATAAATTTGAATGCCTTCATCTTGCATCTATCTTTTAGGTATGATATTATAATTAGTGATGATTTAAAGCCTTGGCTAATTGAAGTAAATGCTTCTCCATCCTTGACTGCTACCACTGCAAATGATCGAGTTATGAAACAAAAACTGATTGAAGACATTTTCAATATCTGTTTAGAAAATGGAGAGTATCCTAGGTAAAATTTTGATAATAAAAATTTATGTAGCAATATTAAACTAACTTAATTATCAAGTATCATTTATTTAATCTCTTGGAAGCTTATTTTATTATTTTTTTGATGTTTGTTTGTTTTTTTAATAATTTTCAATTATTGGCACATTTATCATACATTAATTATTTCACAATATGAATAATCATTTAAAGTTAATTTTTTATATCAAAATTTGTCTGATATGAATTATTCCTTTAGTTAATTACAATGTATTCCTTTTTTATAGTACAAAGTGGAATAAGAATCCTGACAAGTCTATGCTTGGAAATTTTGATATTTTGTAAGTTTTGTTTGATCAATTCTTTTTTTAATGTTAAGGATCACATTACCCAAAAATTGACTAAAGTATGGAATAAAATGTCATTGCTTAAATTAAGGCTGCCTGCACACAAAGTTTGATTCTACCAATGAAATTTAACATGCCAAAATTTTTTTAACTAAAAATCATTTGTGGTTGCCCACCTGGTGGGTGCTACAGGATGGGGGCTTAGACATTGTGAGGACCACCTGTAGGGTCAGCAGAGGGGGAGAAAAGGCTTGATAGATTTATGAAGAATTCGAATGCAGAAAGCCTTATCTTTCATTTTGTGGAGTATCTGTTCAATTCTTGTACAAAAAACTTCAAATAATTCTAAAAACACAGGGAAAAAAGAATTTCTCTATGTGTATTATCAATGAAGTTATGAATGATTTTTAACAAAAGAGGTTGTGGTTTTTCTTACAAAAATATAACTTTTTAGTGCTTTTTTGGTGTTTACATCTAACTAGAATTCCTCAAAAGCAGCTGTATATTAATTTGCGTTTCATCATGTGAGGGACGATTTTATTCTACCAAAATCCAATACAATCTTGGCTGAGAAACATAAATTCATAAAGTTCTCCAAGTTATGATTGTCCATTTATTGTCAGTTATCAAAATTATGATTTCGAATCCAAAGATCGTTCTTAGTATGGAATCGACCTATCAAAATAAAAGCAGTTTTTTACTTCCGTTGTGTTCGTCCACGCTCCTTATGCTAAACGCTTTATAATTTTATTTTTGAAATATTATAAACAATAAATCTTTTCACCCAATAAAAACTTTAAATTTAAAATTTTTATCACCTCTTATTACTTTTTAAGAATTGTTACCTCCTCGAAAATAATCAGAAAATTTTCTTTAAAAAACTTGGAGAAATTTCCTTTTTACTAATTGAAATGCTTCTTATTTTTTTATTATTGAAGATATCACTTTTATTTTTTCAGTAAGCTAAGTATAAATTTGTCATGCAAATAGGTGTTTTGAAATTCATTTTAAAATAAAAGTTACATTTATAAAAGATTTTCGAAAAACTAGATTTTTTTTTTTGATACACTGCATCAAATCTACTTCATCTAAAACAGTAAAACTCTCTTTATTTAATAATAGAAGGGTATTCTATACACACTGAACATAACATGTTGCGTAATATAATTTTACAAGGTCTTATTTTTATTTATTTTTTTTAATTTTTATGTTCTTGTACATTAGTTTAAAAAAAAAAGTTTCGATTGATTTTTAGTTATTTTAAAAATCCGTTATTGTTTATATAAGAAGTTATATTGTATCTAACTTATATTGTTTATATAAGTTAGTTAATATATTGCTTATAGAAGTCAGTTAATATATTGTTTATATAAAAAAAAAAAATTCAGTTTTCCATGGTTTTTTTTATAAATTATAAATGTTTTCTAGCTATAAATCTTTCTTTGTTAAAGAGGGATCCTTTTTTTTCGTGTTGAACATTTGTATATTTTTATAAGAAGAATAAACTGTATTTATATACTGTATTATAATATGCCAGTTTCTTAGAATTTTTTATATTTCAAAGTTATACAGCATTTAAGAAAAAATTTAAAATATAATGATGTACATATTTTTACAAAATAAAAAGCTAAATGGCAAATTTTAACCGGTTTTTATAATGTACAAATGCATTTAAAATAAAAGCATTGCCGAAATTGATAAATAACTTTTCAGAAAATTCTTTTGAAAATGTAATTGTAGTAAATGCGGTATGCATCAAGGATTTACAGTCCAATTCTTGCACTGCAATAATTCAATTTCCACTGTGCTTTAACAAAGCTCTATAATTTTATTACTAATTGAATATTTAAGTTTATAAATTTCAATTTATACTTTTGGAAATACTTTTTTATATATATTATTAAAAGCATTTTTAAAAAATTGCTAGAAAAAGAAAAATTATAATTAAAGAACGTGCATATGATATGATGAAAATGTAAATGTAGTAAATGCGGTATGCATCAAGGGGTTTACAGTCCAATTCTTGCACTGCAATATTTCAATTTCCACTGTGCTTTAACAAAGCTCTATAATTTTATTACTAATTGAATATTTAAGTTTATAAATTTCAATTTATACTCTTGGAAATACTTTTTTATATATATTATTGAAAGCATTTTTAAAAAATTGCTAGAAAAAGAAAAATTATAATTAAAGAACATGCATATGATTATTTAAGATCTTTCAATTAAAATGTTTCGATTTTCTTTTATTAGCAACTAAATTTTTTTAATTGTACAGCTATTTTATAATTTTGATATTTTTTAAAAGACTTTTCGGAGTCTTATTTAACAATGTATAACAATGTATATTATTTAATAATGTATATCTTCGAGAATTTTCGAGGAAATAAAACAACCCTTGATGAAACATCTCAATTGTGTGTTTTACATAATGACATACCTTTTATTTGCATTGATTAAACATAAATTAAATCTTATATTTCAGAATTGATGAAGATTCTAATGTATCGGAAACTGTTACTGAAAAGGAAAGCGTTAAATCAAAAGGTGACTATAATAAAACTGGTGCTAGAGCTAAAGAGAGACACACACCGCGTTGGAGATGAATTGTACAAAACAAAATGAAAAACTGCTTGATGTTTTCATTTACTAAATTATTTGGCTTTTAAATTTATTCTGCTATAGATTACCGAATTTGAAGGGCATTTCTATGTTGTCTTTTTTTATATAAAAAAAATCTATCAATTTCTTTTGTTGCATCATCTTAGGAATACATTATTGCACAGTCAAAATTGCTATATTTGGGTAGTCAGAGGCAACCTTGTTTCTTTTGTATAATTGCATTCCTTCTTTATTTCTTCTTATTCTTATCTTCTTCGTGCCGAACTGGCACATAAGGCCTCGAGTCTTTTTCTCCACACACTCCTGTCTTTGGCCAGGGAACACGCTATTTCCCATCCGGTTAATCCTGTTCTTCTAAGATCTTCCTTGATGCATCTTTGCCCTGTTAGTCTCAATCTCCCTCTTTTTCTATTTCCGTCAGGTGCCCATCAGCTTGCAACGTTTACAGGATTGTTTCTATCCGTTCTTAGTGTTCCTTATTATACTTATTTTTGAAAAAGACCTGGCAATAGTGCCTTTTAGACATACCATTTGAATTACTAATATTTTTTTTAATACTTGCTTCTTTTTTCAAATAATAATAATACTTTTCTGTTGATTTATGTGTTAGTCTATGGATTTATGTGTTAGTCTATGAAAAACCTGAGCCCAAGACAATAGTGATTGTTCATACACAATTTCATGATAGTGGGCAAATAAAAATCATGCACAATCATAATAGGCATTTTAAATAAATTATCTGTTCAAATTCTATGAAAGTCTATTTTTGTGTAAAGGTGTTTGTTTTTCTTTAAGAACCGCTTCAACAAGTATCTGGGTTGTGATTTTGTCATTTCCAGCTTCTCCGTAATTTAACTGGATAATGATTTTGTTAGATTTTAAGTATTTTTTCACATTTTTATTATTTTATTTTTGGACGGGATTTTATCAATGTATGTTAAGGATGGTGATTATAGAACTCTTGAAATAAGTGCAATCTTTTTGTTATTTCTTTTATAAAAAGTCTNAATTTTCGAGGAAATAAAACAACCCTTGATTAAACATCTCAATTGTGTGTTTTACATAATGACATACCTTTTATTTGCATTCACATAATTGCATTAACATAAATTAAATCTTATATTTCAGAATTGATGAAGATTCTAATGTATCAGAAACTGTTACTGAAAAGGAAAGCGTTAAATCTAAAGGTGACTATAATAAAACTGGTGCTAGAGCTAAAGAGAGACACACACCGCGTTGGAGATGAATTGTACAAAACAAAATGAAAAACTGCTTGAGGTTTTCATTTACTAAATTATTTGGCTTTTAAATTTATTCTGCTATAAATTACCGAATTTGAAGGGCATCCTATGTTGTATTTTTTATATTAAAAAAAAAATCTATCAATTTCTTTTGTTGCATCATCTTAGGAATACATCATTGCACAATCAAAATTGCTATCTTTCGGTAGCATATCTAGGATTCAGAGGCAATCTTGTTTCTTTTGTATAATTGTGTTCCTTCTTTATTTCTTCTTATTCTTATCCTCTTTGTGCCGAACTGGCACATAAGGCCTTGAGTCTTTTTCTCCACATACTCCTGTCTTTGGCCAAGGAACACGCTATTTCCCATCCAGTTAATCCTGCTCTTCTGAGATCTTCCTTGATGCATCTTTGCCCTGTTAGTCTTGGTCTCCCTCTTTTTCTATTTCTGTCAGGTGCCCATCAGCTTGCAACATTTACAGGAACACTTATTATACTTATTTTTGAAAAAGACTTGGCAATAGTGCCTTTTAGACATGCCATTTGAATTACTAATATTTTTTTAATACTTCCTTCTTTTTTCAAATAATAATAATAATACTTTTCTGTTGATTTATGTGTTAGTCTATGAAAAACCTGAGCCCAAGACAATAGTGATTGTTCATACACAATTTCATGATAGTGGGCAAATAAAAATCATGCACAATCATAATAGGCATTTTAAATAAATTATCTGTTCAAATTCTATGAAAGTCTATTTTTGTGTAAAGGTGTTTGTTTTTCTTTAAGAACCGCTTCAACAAGTATCTGGGTTGTGATTTTGTCATTTCCAGCTTCTCCGTAATTTAACTGGATAATGATTTTGTTAGATTTTAAGTATTTTTTCACATTTTTATTATTTTATTTTTGGACGGGATTTTATCAATGTATGTTAAGGATGGTGATTATAGAACTCTTGAAATAAGTGCAATCTTTTTGTTATTTCTTTTATAAAAAGTCTATTTATACTTCCTAATTTTGTTTATATTATATTTTAAAATGTCCTTTTTTAGAATTTTACATTCTTTTTTAATAACTATTGAGTTATAAGAGCTGATGATCACTCACAGTATTTATTTTCATTCACTCATATTATTATTTATTATATCAATAATTCATTTAATTTTGCTAATTTTATTTTTTCAAATTACTCATACAATTGATGAAAATTATAACTTTATTGTTAATGTTATAATATGACGATTGTAAACTATTTAAATGAAATTAATATATGTTTTATTACATTAATTTTACTGTCATTCAATTACTTAAATTCTATTATATTTATATTGCCCGGTGTTCATGAACTTTGTTATACTTTTTATAAATTTAGTTATCTTTGAACCAATTTAACAAAATTGAAAACTTTACTGGTGAAGTTTATTGAAAATTTTAATCTTATACTGTTAGCTTTTTTATATTTAGACATAAAAAAAAATTAATAAATATATGCACAAATTCATCATAAACAATGTAGCTGCTTAATATTAAATAATATAAAACACTAATTAATAACTGAGAATTTTTCAGTTCATTTTTTTTTAATTAACTTATCTTAAATAAGTGCAGCAAATATCTCGTTTCATAAATTTAGATTTTGTTATAAACTGTAATTGCAAGATGTAATGATTAAAGTATTATTTTATATTTATTTATACTTTTATCTGTGATATATTTTTTTATAATAAATTAGTATCCTATCTTCAAGAATTGTGTTTATTTGCATTCACTAAAAATTACAATTTCCATTCACCTTGACATTATATTATCTTAAAACTAAATTAAAAGCATAAATCAGAGTTGGATATTTTATTTCTTTCTTTTGAGTACATAAAACAAATACACTCTTGAAGTCTTTCACTTACTTACTAGTTAAATATGCATTATTTTTACAGGGCAAAAAGAAGTAAATTATTAATGAATCAGTATTAATAGGGATGTGATCCTTCCGCGGATTAGCGGACTTCCGCTATTTTTCAGATTTTTCCATTTTTTCCTGCTAATTTCCGCTGAAATTCTTTTTTTTTTTTTTTTTGCACAAGTTAAAATATTTTATGAGGAATTAAATTTTCCGCGAAGCGAAAGTATTGAAGTCCTCATTCCTCCCTCAAACATTGATTTTCGTTTTTACCTGATTTAAAAGTTGAACGTTGCGATTCTTAATCAGGCGATTTAAATGTCGTACATTGTGATTCTTATTTATGAGATTCAAAAATCCAATATCGCGATTTGTAATTACGTGCTTTTAAAACCCTATGTAGCGATTCGTATTCACGCGAGCTTAAAATCCAATGTCGTGATTCTTTTTTGCTGTTGTAATATCAAACATCGATTTTCCTATTTATACGTGCTTTAAAAATTAGACAGTGGGATTCGTATTCGCGCTATTTAAAAATTAAGCTTCGTGATTCGTATTTCCGTGATCTAAAAGTTACGCATCATGATTTGTATTTTCGCATTTTTTAAATTCGATATAGAGTTTTATATTCACGTGACTTAAAAGCCTCATTTCGGGATTCATATTCTCTTAATTTAAAATCATGCATGTGATTCATATTTATATATTCATGCAATTTTAAAATTAATCATCGGGATTTATAATCACGTGGTTTACAAGTTTAAAAATTGCCCTTTTTTGTCAAATTTTTGTGTATATATGTATATATATATGTAATATCTAAAATACTAGCTTAATAAAATCAAAAGGATCTTTTAAGACTAAACTCAAAAAGAATTATATCTATCTGCAGATAAGCTTATCTGGTTTCTGAGAACATTAAATCTCTCTTTCACATACTTAACTTAGCCCTTCGCGTATATAGTAAGTTCCGTTGAATAACGATGAAATCTTTATTTATAAAATGAATCCACACCGCGCAATAAAAAATCGTAACGAAACCAAATTCCCATTAAAATCAAGACTATGTTGAGATAATAGTTCTTCTCCATCTGGTCTTAAGATATTCCAGACGCCGGTTCTAACATCTGGGTTTTATAGATCACATGACATGAACATATGTTACGTTAAAGAAGTGTACACTTATATTTTAGAAATGGATGGATAAAGATGTGTCTCGGAGCTTTGCTCTAATTGTGTATAAATTGTAAATAGATTCCTTATTCTTTATTCCATAAAAGTATAGAATATTCCTTATGTTATCATCCTTATAGAAAAGGATATTAAAAATATTAAAATATGNTATTATTATTTATTATATCAATAATTCATTTAATTTTGCTAATTTTATTTTTTCAAATTACTCATACAATTGATGAAAATTATAACTTTATTGTTAATGTTATAATATGAAAATTGTAAACTATTTAAATGAAATTAATATATGCTTTATTATATTAATTTTACTGTCATTTAATTACTTAAATTCTATTGTATTTATATTGCCCGGTGTTCATGAAATTTGTTATACTTTTTGTAAATTTAGTTATCTTTGAACTAATTTATCAAAATTAAAAATTTTATTGGTGAAGTTTATTAAAAATTTTAATCTTATACTGTTAGCTTTTTTCTATTTAGACATAAAAAAATTAATAAATATATGCACAAATTCATCATAATATCATTAATAATGCAGCTGCTTAATATTAAATAATATAAAACACTAATTAATAACTGAGTATTTTTCAGTGCAGCAAATATCTCGTTTCATAAGTTTAGATTTTGTTATAAACTGCTATTGTAAGAAATAATGATTAAAGTATTATTTTATATTTATTTATACTTTTATCTGTGATATATTTTTTTATAATAAATTAGTGTCCTATCTTCAAGAATTGTGTTTTATTTGCATTTCCATTCAACTTGACATTATCTTATCTTAAAAATAAATTAAAAGCATAAATCCAAATTGGATATTTTAATTTCTCTCTTTTGAGTACATAAAATAAACAAATACACTCTTGAAGTCTTTTATTTACTTACTAGTTAAATATGCATATTTTGGCAGGGTAAAAATTATTAATGAATCAGTTTTAATCAGTTGTTTTAATTGAAATTGTGCACAAAACTATAAGGCATATAAATTTTATTAAAAACATGTGTTTAAAATCTTAAATGGTAAAATTTTATTAAAAACCTATTTGTTTTTTTGGTATCACAATGATACACCTGCATGAGTTAAATAAATCGTATAGTTTGTCTAGGGTAAGAACTCCTCCCTTCACAAAGTCTGAGGCCATCTGTTGCTATGGTAACAAGAATAGCACATTTTAGGGAGGGTAGCTTCTCTTGACTCTAGGGATAACAGAGCAGATGGAAGAAAAAGAATCCCTTTCTCTCAACGACCCGAGCCAAAACCTGTCCTACACATTGACCCCACACCACTACTTGAAATAGTTATACCTCGTTACCATAGTCACCGCCACGGGTTCAGACGAATGACATGGGGAGTTCTTACTTTAGACAAACTATAGAGATGGTAATAACAGATTGTTTAATCTACCAAATGTAATGTCCTACTAAAAAGGTAAATGAACAGTTAAATGTAAAAATTAATTTTTCATACATTTTTCACAAATATGGCGCAACAGCAAAATCATTAAAAATAGAGTTTTTATTTTTGATGATGTAAGAACCTTCCCAAAAATTCAGGTCAAGGCATAAAATACATTTATGAATGATATGAGATGAAAAAAAATCAAACTTATGGCATTCTGCCCAGCAATGTTTTGTGATCTACGATCTTGTATCATCTATCAGAAACATTCGGTCATGTTTGGCAATAGATGAACGTTTATCATCTTCTATCCTAAACGTTCATTCATCTATTGCAAACCTTGCTATTCAGAAAGCCATGGGTACAGTTTTTCTTTACCTCATATTATTCATAAATGCACCTGCATTTTTGGGAGAGTTCCTACATCATCAAGACCAAAAACTATTTTTTAATGATCTTGCTGCAGTGCCATAATTGTCAAAAAGTGGAGACCGTTCATTTCGCACTTACTGTCCTTTTACTTTGAACTGTTTATCTCTTTGGTATAGCATTACATCTCTGGTATTAAATCATCTGTTTTTACCACCCTTACTATTTATACGACTGATGAATATGTGTCATAGCAACAATGAAACGCATGCTGGTTTTCAATAAAATTTAACTATTTGTGATTTTAAATGTTAGTTATTTTTAATTAATTTATTTCATTGCAAAAAATTGCTCTCGCAATTTTATATGTAAGATATATAACGTCGCAATTAATAAAGCTAGATTAATTCCACTATTTTCTTTGTTTTTTTTGTTCTTCCCGATTACTTTATTAAGCTCAACTAATCTGTATAGAGATTAACTATATTAGGTATCATTTGACATGAGACCAAAATTAATCACAATCGAGCAATTTTCTCCAGTACTAATCGATTTCAGGGAACCAGGATGGAACACAATAGTGAAACTCGGACATAATGCGCAGTCGGTTCTTACTCTAAAAATGACCATCTTATCTATTTACTTTTCATAGATAAATGATGATTGAAAATGCTCTTCTAAAATTTTTGTGACTCTTCTTGCATTTTAGAAGAGAGTTCGATTTACGAATTTTGATTACTTGTTCTCTCTGCAATACAATTTAAAAATTTGCACAGTTTTATTACCATATAAATTTGTAAAAAAAAGTTATTAATCAAGCGTTATTCATACAAGAATCATGTATCTTTACTAGAGTTCCTGATATCTAACTTAGTTAGACAGTTACAAGATGAGGATAAATCTAATTGGTCAAGTGTCACAATTTACTAAAATAAAACGAAACATTTTCTCGTAAACTTAATAAGGAGTGATAGACAAGGTATTTTTTCTGGTGGAATCTCAGAATTGTAGGTACGTAAACTTTTTTCTTGCCTTTCAAATTAATCTCAATTATTTTAAGTACATATTATTGGCGATTTAAGTGGGCTGCAGGTGGCGTAGAGCAGAACTTTTTACCTATGGCAACACTTCGTATGCTGTCACCATTAGCGTGTGGAGAGTCATAGGAGAAGGAAGTACGTTAGTTTCTGTTTTGATTTTCGAATAGATTAAAAACTTTTAAGTAAGGAAAGGTGATAGAACTGAAAACTACAATGAACATAGTTTTAAAAGAAAGCGTTGCAAAAATTTGAAAAAAATATTTTTGACAATTAAATACGAAAAATATTAAAAAAGGGGAAAATATCGCAGTACATTCCTATACAACTGAAAGGTAAAGGGGGGAAGGTCAATACATAGAATTTTTCTTCTCCCCAGATGGCGTATTCGAGCGTTGCAATCACGAATATGAAAATATAATTTCAGAAAAACATTTATTTTGGGGAAATAATTCGATTCCAAACTGTACTTGTCCCTTTCGTCAAGTTATTTATGCTATTATATACTGAATAAATTATTAATTTTTTTTTATAAAAAGTTAATTTTCCTGATAAGAAATGATTGCTAGTAGAAAATTTTGCGAACAAACTATGTTTTTATTTTTAAAAAGATTACAGAAGTTATTCATAAAAGCACATCAATAATTAGTTGTACTTCGGCGCAGTGGCGTGCCAGCCGGGGGGGCAGAGGGGGCAGTCGCCCCCTCTGAAATTTTCGTGAGGGGGCAAACAATATATTTNTGTGCTTATCATTAAAATTATGATAAAGTTAATTTTCCATTTTTTTGTAAACTGAAAATTTATATTCATGATTAAATTCAAATCTATGCTAGAATCAAAATTTAAATAACAAGTTATTTTTAATTCAATATGTTTTTGAGGAGCGAAAAACCATTCTATGTCATTATGATTAAAATGTATCGACAAAATGTATTGCTCAGCATTAACAAGTTTAAAGGAGTAAAATTACAAAATTCATTAATTAAATTTTTTACATTTTAATACACTTTTTTTCTTTTTAATTAGTTTCGGATTGATAAATCATTTTTTGTTAACTAAATTGGTGTGGATGTAATAGTTAAATCATCGTCGTCATAAACAACGGAAATAGTTTAGATAATTACAATTAGACAAATTACAATATTAAAATAATACAACTAACTTTAAAATATTAAATCAAGCAAAGCTTATGACTTTGCATTGGCTCGCCCCCCCCAGTCAAAAAAAAGTTGGCACGCCACTGCTTCGGCGTTATTTCATCTCTCTTTGCTGGTAAAAGAAAAACGAAAGTTAACTTGACTAAATATTGGTATTATAGCAACAAGGAATTCATTGTATTTTAGCCGACTGAGATTCAAAAGATACTGTCTATTCACTAATTTTAATTATGCTAATTTTTCATAATTTTGATTTATGCGTTGTACTTATTATTGCTTTTTGTTTGTTCGTTTTTTTTTTTTTTACTTTGAAATATTTGGGTTGGTAGGTAGGTATTTTATTTACGTCGCATTAGAGCTGCACAATGGGCTATTGGTGACGGTCTGGTTAACATACCTGAGGATGATCCGAAGACATGCCATCGCAATATTGATCCTCCGCAGAGGGTGCGGCTCCCCTGCTTTAATACCCCGACGACCTGTGCGCGAATTCGAACACTTTTACGGTAGAACAGTTTTAACGAGGACCAATACCACGTGCCCTCGATCTCTACGCAGGCTGATCAAAGTGGTCACCCTCCCGCGTGCTGACATCAGCCAGTGATGCTTGACTTCGGTGTTCTACTGCGAACCGTGTCTTTACGATTACTGCGAGACTGAAACTTTTGGGAACTTCACATTTTTAGTATTTTCTTGGTGTCTCTTATTTGTTGTAATAATCTTGTGAACCCTTTTATGACTGAAATCTTCACTGATCGTTGTAACGTAGCTGGCTAATTACAAGTGGTTAAAATATAATATTATGAACAAGATTATAATTCTCAAAATTAGAAATAATACATATTTCATTTAAATTTTAAAGGATAGAGAAAATGAATTATAATTTTTAAGGAGATTGAAAAAGAAAAAGTTTAATTGGGTACTTGCACTTCAAGAAGAAGACCTCCCATACCCACACATGTGACCTACGACGTCAGCTAATTTTTATCAGCAAAATGTCGTATTAAAGTTCAGCTAAGTTTCTCTATATAAGTTAGAATGTTAATTGGCAAGTTAATTGAATACAGAGCCGCAGCCACACTGAATTAGTTGAAATATAATTCTTTCCTTAACTTTACTACAGTGATATATTTTTGTTTTGTGCACCTGGCAACTTCGTACCTGTCTTTGTGTTAAGTCTCTATGTAAATATATAGTGAAAGAATTGAGGTCTTTGTGAAAGAATTTAGAATGCGTCATTTTTTAAGAGAATTGATACTTGAAGGAGTTGGCTTAATCGAAATAGAAGGGAAAGAACAGTTGCTAACGTAAGCAAATGTCACGTTTCAACAGCCACTAAGGATCGAGATATCCACACTGCGTCACTTGTTGGTATCCCATTACCATATCTTTGGAGATCATCATACAGAACATAATTCTTTTCATTAACTTCCTTTTAATATAGATCCACTGCTTTTTCCAACTGTTCTACCTCTCTGTCCATTTTAGTCTCTCAACATAATTAACCAACTTCGCTACTTCAATAACCTCTAGAATCTCACTTACAATCCAGGAATTCTTTTTTTTTTTTACTGTACTTCAAAACCTCTAAATATTAAATCATAGTTATCTTAGATTAAGAGTAAACTTCCTACAAAAAATTAAGTCTCTTACCTGGTTCTTACACCCAAAGATTACTCAAATAATGTCAGTTGCCTGGTTCTTCCACTGGATATCTTCGGAGTTATGGCTGTTTTTCGAAGGCTCTGTTGTCGCACGAAACGAAGCTTTCTTTGCAAATTATATAATATTTTCATAACTGCTGTGGGTTTGCAACAGTTGCGCATGACTGTTGGATCGAGTTTAAGCAATCTTTAGCCAACGCCCTCCATGTTTATTCTAAAAATGGCACATAAAAAGTCATTATTGATAAAAGCCACATTATTGAGAAAATTACAAGCATTTGTGGTCTAATTTTTTAACATTTAAAACTTACTCAGATGCTATATTATCTGGACTCATGAAAATTTGCAAAAAATGGGAATAAAACATTGATTTTGGAGCATTTGTAGCCAAATGAGCGATTTTTAAAAAAGTTTAATAACTTTAAAAAAATTTTAGTTATTTGTCCGTTCTAAAGCTCAGATAATTCTTTACTGCAAGTTGACTTATACAGTTTAAAATTATAGCTTTGATTCAAGTGTGGCATTTTTATTTTTCTTAGTGATAGAGCTTCTAAATAAAAATATTAACAGATTTCGAAATATAAATGCGCATTCATTAATGACGTATATTTTTTGGCAATCCACACAATTAACCTTCGCTGTAAGCAGCAAGCACAGCGTGTCTTTTGAACGACAAATAATTTCTCTTGTTAGGAGTCAACTGACTTTTATTTACTTAAGAAAACTTGTCCTCTGAACTTTCAATAGGGGATTTTTCATCAAATTGTTCACATTTTTCTGCTCTTAGTTGAGAATCTTTGTTCATGCAGCATGGAAGAAAAAAGTTTTTCTCAGAAAAGTAAACTTATACATAGTGTTATTCATCCTGTAAGAAAATCTTATTCTTGTAGTATATGTAATAAGAATTTCTCACAAAGATGTAATTTGACTGCACACAGTCATGTTCATACTGGTGAGAAACCTTTTTCTTGTAGTATATGTAACAAGAGTTTTTCAGTAAGAGCTTATCTGATTAAACACAGTCGTGTTCATACTGGTGAGAAACCGTACTCTTGTAGTATATGTAACAAGAATTTTTCAGAAAAAGGTAACTTGACTAAGCACAATCGTGTTCATACTGGGGAGAAACCGTATTCTTGTAGTATATGTAATAAGAATTTTTCAGAAAAAGGTGCACTGACTATGCACAGTCGTGTTCATACTGGTCAGAAACCTTATTGTTGTAGTGTATGTAAAATGAGATTCTCACGAAGAGATGCACTTTCTCAACACAGTCATGTTCATACTGGTGCAAAACCGCATTCTTGTAGCATATGTAATAAGAGTTTCTCACAAAGATGTAGTTTGACTCAACACAGTCATGTTCATACTGATGATAAACCTTTTTCTTGTAGTATATGTAACAAGAGTTTTTCAGTAAGAGATTATCTGATTAGACACAGTCGTGTTCATACTGGTGAGAAACCGTATTCTTGTAGTATATGTAATAAGAATTTTTCAGAAAGACATAAACTGACTATACACGGTCGCGTTCATACTGGGGAGAAACCGTATTCTTGCAGTATATGTAATAAGAATTTTTCAGAAAGAGGTAATCTGACTATACACAGTCGTGTACATACTGGTGAGAAACCTTATTGTTGTAGTGTATGTAATAAGAGATTCTCACAAAGAGTTGCACTTTCTCAACACAGTCATGTTCATACTGGCTAGAAACCTTATTCTTGTAGTGTATGTAATAAAAGTTTTTTTTAAAAAGATCATCTGACCAAACACATTCTTTGCTCACTCTGTTTAGAATCTATATTCTTGTATTTGTAAAAATAATTTTTTACTTAAGGGCTATCCATGTAATCATTGTATTCATACCTGTGAAAAACTTCATTTTTTTAACATATGTAAAAAGAGTTCTTCTCAAATGGCTGACTTCTGTTTGTATTCACATTGGTGAGGAAACCTTTTTGTTGTAGCTTAATGTAATAAGAGTTTTATCTCAAAAATGTACTATTACTAAACACAATCTTTTTCTGAAAAATGATACACCATATTTTAGAAGTATATAATTTAAATGAGTTTTCAATAATACTGATCTAAATGTTTACATTGGAGTTCATACTTGTGAGGTATGTTATTCTATGGATGATGTTTTCAATAGAAATGTAAAACAATAACAATCTCGAGCTCGGCACCTACTCTAGTTCCGGTTAAAACGTTTGCAGCTGCTTACTACATGTTATTCTGATAGGTAATGTTTTCAAACAGATAATTTTGTTTTCAATAAAAGAGATAAATTAGATAATTTCTGAGCTCAAATCTGCCATATTTCATAAGATATTAATGTTAATATGTAATTCTGGTGAGTTTGAGGTGAAAATTTGTTTTAGTTTTTTAGAAATATATTGTTAAAAAAGGTGACATGGTTGCTAGATTTTGAATAACTCGCTTTTTTGGCAGTCTTGATATGGCCTCTTTCCATAAGTTTATTACTGTTTGCTCTTGTTGCAAGATGTGCACCATCTTACGTTGGTGCTAACACTTTTAGCATTGTAAACACCAGTATTGTTATCATTGTAAACACAATATCAATCAAATAAGTAATCAAATACATTGTTTGCAAGAATTTCAAAACACAATGATGCCAAATGGCTTTAAAATACAACGGAAACAGTAACCCGGAAATTCAGGCGGTACCAAGCTTGCAGCGTTCCCTAGTGTAGAAAACACCATCCATATGCAATAAGTGTTTCTCAACAAGAACTAATTTTACTAATCATAGATTTATTGATTCTGGTGATGGTCTCATCGTATATGTCTAAATCTTATCGCATATGTCCAAGGAGATTTTCCTTTAACTTATCATATTCTGTCTCGTACTGGTGTAAGTTATGAATTGTTGCAGCACATGTATAAATAGATTTTCACTGTGTATTAAAATGACTGAACACTGTCTTTTCTAAGCAGCAGGGTTGGGTTTTTGACGTCAAAAAGTGGTTTTTGACATGACAAGGGTATAATACTGGTTTAAACCGTCAAAAACCCGTCAAAAATGTCAAAAACTGAAGTTTGCCAAGAAAATATATAAACTTCAAAACTACCAACAGTTGCCATGCATTATATTGAAATTTAATTATACTATAGGTAATCAGCAGGTTTTAAAATATTTTTTAATTAAAATTAAGGTAAAATAACAGATTTAAAATCTCAGAAATTTATATTCAAATGCATGTGCAGAAAAATTTGGCACAAAAATTGTTTGAATATTTATATTTAAAAAATTTTTTTTTTCTTTTTGATACTTAAGAAAATTAAAAGTTTATTACTATGCATTTTTGACATATAAGGAACATATAACTAATATTTATAAGGAACTTACAAGTTATGTTGTATAAATACAAACTTGATA